TTGGCCTGATATAAATGGCAGATCACTGCTGTAGAACACGACAGGCTGAGTGTCCTAGTGATACAGGGTAGAGAGGGAAACGCCGTCTGCAGAGGCATAAACACTTGGCAGTGTTTTAGTATATGTGGGTGATAGACGGTGATCTTTTCAGTTCCCAAGCAAACCCCTTAGAATCTGCATAAATGTACATATGATAAAGGTAACTGAAGTTGTGATCCTCAGCACATGGGGCATTATACTACATGTTAAGAGTAACTGACGAAAGCACACAATGTAGCAATAAGCAACTTAAAGTGTAACAACAGGCAAAAATATATATCATACAATCTGTCACTAGCATTAACGCAGCAACATAGCTTTGTTACCAGTTCATCTGGCCTTTAGATCCATTATTTTTCCACTCCCTGTAACAGGCTATGCTGTCCAGGAAAAATGACACTTACAGAGATTCCCAGCTTTATCTACTAAATGGTCAAAGCAGCTGTCAATCAATACAAGCAAAAGAAAAAGCCACTGTACCTCCTCTACCAAATCCTTTACTAGAACTGTGATGCTCAGTGAAAGTCTCTTCCGGACCCAAACAAATTCCAAACTTAGGAAAACCGGCACTCGGAAAAGATCATCTTGATGTAAACTTTATTGATGTGGCATAAAAACAGCATACAAAAGCCTTGTCAACAAGTTTCAGCCTTTCAAACTGGCCTAAGTCATAGCTATGACTAAGTCCCGTTAGAAGGGCTAAAACGCGTCAACAAGGCTTTTTAATGCTATTTTTATGCCACATTGATAAAGTTAATATCAAGATGATCTTTTCCGAGTGCATTTTTTTCTACGTTTGCAGTTGTCAGTCAACCAGCAGGGGGAGAAATGAATGAAAGCGCAAAAAGGCCGGCCTCATTGGGAGCTGGGAGGGTCACCCTAATAAGCAGAAATTATTTTCACAACTTAAGAACTTGGATTTACATACACTTTAAAATTCCTTTTTTTTTTCTTTGATCCTTGGATGCACATTGTGGTCACCAAAAGTTTGTTATTCTAGTGTTGTAATGACATCTCCAGATGTTTTTCACCAGCTAGCTTTCCAATAAGGGTTGCAGTGTTTGCTAATACTTGCAGAAAGTGTAGTTCATTCCCATTTAGATTGACATGCATTGCACAGCTGTTGGGAACTGATTTCTCTAACTCTGGAATGGGTGCTCATATGTAGAAAACTGATGATATGTAGACCTGGCCCTGAATAGTTACCAGTAATCTTTTCGCTCCAAGGTTTGTTCCACCAAATCAAGCTTAAGTCTTTTTGTGTTCCCAGGAATCCTGCGGCTCTCTGTAGAGGACAGAGTCCTGAGTGACAACTTAGCTTGGGGAACATAAAGCTATTTTACAGACCACTGGAGATACTGTATCTGTTTACACATAGTATATTAGGCACTTTGCAGTAAAACAACATTCTTTCAAGACTTGAAGTTAAGGCCATTTGGATTTGTGTCTGAGAAGGAAAATAAAATGCTCTGGAAACAAACACTAATACTAGATGTACAGTGTGAATCATCCCATTGGTACTGTTACTGTGTGCCCCCCTTCCCCGTGTCCTTTCAAAAACCAATAAAACATGGTAAAGTGTGTGTTAACCCTAAATCTATTTTTGAGCATATTTGGCATCATATCTCACTGTATACAGTTTTTGGAAGCATTTTCTTTTGCAAACTTTCTTACCTGGCTGGAGATCCTGCCAATACAAGCATTTTCTGTTGCAGGTTGACAATGCTAAACCTAAACCCTGCCCCACAATCAGCAGCAGCATTGTCAGCCTGCTGTGCACACTCCTTCAGTTGGCCATTGGAATGCCTATGATAGAACTGATAGGTAGCCCAACGGCCAAGGAGAGCTTATGGCTAGCTGTCAACCCTACTGCTAATTAAGAGGTAGTGGATTGGCGCTGTCAGCCTGCAGCAGGAACTGTTATTACATCCTTTGGATCAACTGTGGGTGTAGGGTTCTGTTTATGGAGGTTTCCAAGGTATTTTTTTTCCCCCTATTGGTTGATCTTGATGGGCTTTTTCTAACCTGACTAGCTATGTAACTGACAGGATCTCCTGGTAAAAAATGTTGTTCATGTTGTTCATCTGGCATACTGTCCAATAGCCAAGGAGAGCATACAGCAGGCTAACAATGCTTTTGCTAATTAAAAGTCAGTGGCTTAGTGTTGTCAACCTGCAACAAGAAGTGTTGTTACTGACAGAATCTCCTGGCAAGACATTTTGGAACAGATTCGCAAAACAAGAGTTGCTTAAGAAAACATGATACAGGAAGACATGAGTGTGCGGTGCAGCAGAGTTTGGCTCACAGTGCTTACACTCCCTCTCTTAGGGCCAATTTACACCAGCCACTGCGCAAAATGCCGTGGATGGTGTGCGGTGCCTTGTTCTACAGGCACAGTGGGGTGCGAGGCGGTTGTACTGTGTCGCATCTTGCTGAGCTGAAAAAAAGTAGTGCATGCTGTACTTTTTTTCAGCGCACACCACCATGCATTGCGTTAGTGAGAACCAAGCAAATTGCCTTGTCTTGTGTTGGGGCTGCACTAGAAACAATGGCCAGTGCAGCCCAAATGCATATGGTGTGAACCCCCAGTGTGATTTCTCAGTGCATTATGAATATTTTTTTCTGGCAATTATATTGGTGCTGTTTAAATATTTTTTAATGGTTGTTCGTGGACATATTTGTCCAGAGTCCTGCTTTCATGGGTATAGAGGTGGTTAACAGGAAAAGAGGCACCAAGGTTTCCTCCAGGGTCCTAAGAGTGGCATCTCTGCACTTGTTCTCCCGTTAGATGCCGCGAAAGCTCAGCATGTTAGAACAAGCATTCCCATTACAGAGGCCAGGGTGGGGAGCGACGGGTGGTGCCTCTGATCGCTAGACATCGAAACACGAGAGGTGCAGGAAGGCTTCAAAGCTACAGAACTCCGGCCTTTGATGAATTTTTCATGGGGGAGTTGGGGGTGCTGAGCAGCCTCTCGTCTTCCAGGCTGGAGTAATTGATTAATGGAAGGTGTGCTCTGAAAAATCGATAACCTGGTGCACGTCCGACACTCTACATTGAAAGAGAGAGAAACATGGGCTGTTACAGTAAATTAACCCTAAACTGTGTCTGGTTCTTACTAGAATTATCTATATAGTTCAACATTTCACATATATGGGTCCTGCTGCTACTTGAATTGAGCGGGATAAACAGCATACAGCGTTCAGCAATGCATACATAATATTGGCCACCGGTGTATTGCTAATATTAAGGACAAGGTCAGAAGAACTGTCTGAGTGTTATAGATTGAAGGAAAACCTGTTGAACTCAGAATTCATGCTAAGGTTTGAATCATTTGCTCAGTGCAGTGTTAGGATTGTTAGGGAATCATTCTTCCCATGTCACACATGTAGGGGAGATCTTACCCATTCTACCCACTCCACCCAGATGTGTGTGATAGGACAAAGGTGAATCTCTATTAAACTTTAGGCTATGAAAAGGAAGTGATCTTTGGATTAGTGTGACTTTATCGCTCATCAGAGCTGCTGCATGAGCAATTCCCCCCATAGATGGCTCAAGAGTCTGTACAAGGCTAGATTTCACTGTGATTTTTTTTTTAAGTTGGTCAGTTGCGCTACTAAAATCATTGGACAGCTGGGATAAATAGCTTTTTATTTTGTAATATTCACCAGTTTAGGTGACATGATTGCACAATGCGATTGATCGCTGCTGCAAGTCACTATATGCTACTTGTGTAGCCTACACCATAGGGAACAACTTGGTCATTGATAACGCAGCAATTAATTGGCAATGATTTTAGGTGTACAACTGAACTACTGAAAAGAAGGCAAGATATGTATTACAAATTTAGTAATTTAATTGTTCTCCCTTTCAATATCAAAGTTGTCAGAAAGCTGTCGCCATGCTCTAGTGAGCAGTAATGTGTTTAAATTAAAAATTGTGTGAATATTTGATACATATTAAAGCTTAACTCCAGGAAGATATACAATGCACAAATTCATGGATTTAAATAAACAAAACTGAATTTATTTGATCTTTTACCGGCTGTTCATTTTTATCTTTAAAGGAGAACTATGGGGTTAAGGCTTTTCCCCATAGTTCTCCTAAGGGTAAGGGGAGGACACAAACTAGCGTCCTCCCGTCACCCTAAGCTCAGCTCGCGTTACACTGAGACGCCACAGTATACCGCAAGCTACTGCTTGTGGTATACTGAGACGCCGCAGCTGAAGCGGATCCCAACAATTATGTCTGGATCCGCTCAGCTGCGTGATTGACAGCTGGCTCTGCCTATCTAGAGGCAGAGCCAGCTGTATCCGCCCCCTCCCCCATCCGTTCCGCCAGTCAGCTCTGGCGGAGGGGGTAATCTAGCCCCTCCCCTACCACGGCAGGATAGAGAGGTGAGTGAACGCCGGTATCTGTTCGCTCACCTCCCGATCTACTGAGCCGACCTGTGACAGTCTCATTGTCACAGGTCGGCTAGAACTATGAGGTGAGTGAAAAGCACTCACCTCATAGTTCTCCTTTAAGGCTATGTTCACACCATGTCCGGAGAAGATCTGTAAACGCAGTGCAGTGCGTATTTGCCACGTTTTTTAAGCTTAAAATGGGCAGTTCAGTGCGTTCCAGTGCATTTGCATGCATATTTAATGCACTTACATGCATTCCAGTGCATTCCAGACCAGAGAAAATGAGATACGCAGTATCAGACCGGAACAGACTGCACTGGTGTGAACAGAGCCCAGAAATAACATAGGGATACATTGGGAGGCCTTTTTGGTCCAGGAAACAAAGTGTTCCCGTCTGGACATGGTCCGCCCAAAAATACCATAGGGATACATTGGGATGCCTTTTTGGTCTGGGAATAAACTGCAAGCCCTAAAAGTTTTTAGTGTAGTATGAGAATATTAGTCGATAAAAATGATAGTACCCTGAATAATGTTTTCTTGTTTCTCTTTATGTTCAGTTTACAAGCCCTGCGGAAAGAAAAGTCCAGGGACGCTGCCCGCTCCCGGCGTGGAAAAGAGAACTTTGAGTTTTACGAGCTTGCCAAACTGCTTCCTCTGCCTGCAGCCATCACAAGCCAGCTAGACAAGGCATCCATCATCCGCCTGACCATCAGCTACCTAAAGATGAGAGACTTTGCCAACCAAGGAGACCCACCATGGAATCTACGTATGGAAGGACCACCTCCCAACACTTCTGTCAAAGGTAAGTCTGCACCCTACAGTCACTCCTCTATAATTCTTAGATTACTACACTGTTAGTCTCGTTTCAGCAGTATACTGTTTCTTAATAACATTTCTACTCTATGATAGCTATGGCTGTGTATTTGACTCAGCAGGCAGGATTTTGCTTTAAATAAGTGTTTTGTTTCTTCATATTTTTAAAATAGATTATTTGAATATTCAACCCATTTTGTTTTAAAAGAGACCTGTGTGGGTATATATGTATGAGTTGCCATTGCTGAATTGTTTTATGAAGTTCACACTTTTCAGATTTTACTGATTAAGTAGTGAAGAGAGGGTCAGGGGACAGCATTGGAGCATCCAGTATTACTTACAAATCAGCAATGGCCGATTCCCTATTTGTAAAATATCAGGCTTGATATTTCAGGTATGGGTGAATACTGGTGGGTGGGCTTTTTTTTTTTTTTTTTTTCGAGTCTCTGGCGCTCGAGTAGTACGAAACAAATTTCAAGGATAGCCTTGCTTTCACTGTGAATTCTCAGTACTGCTGCTGAAACATGGAAGTTATATTCCATAATCCATAATAATTTAAAATAAATAAAAAATCCAGCAGGCTTGTCATGGCTGAAGCACATGGTGACTAATTCAGCCTCCCCAGCATCTAACCAGATTATAAAGCTATTCCAATCATGGCTCACCAGTATTTACTCAAAATGTTTTTTCGGTATCCTGATTGGCCGGGAAGCCGACTCCATAACGAGGGAGCATCGAGCCAGCTTTCCTGCCAATCAGGAAGCCGGGCGGCGTGTAATGTTTCGCCACCCAGCTACCTGATACCGGAAGATCTGGTATCGGGATAAGTATCAGGAGCATTTGGGCGACCACAGGTACTCACCCAAATATCATTTTCAAAGGACCTGACCCTGACTGCTGTTAAAATGCAGTTAGAATGAGCACAGATGGGCATGTAAAGTAGGTCAAGGGCTGTGCCTCCTGGAAATGTCTCTATCATTTAAATGAGCTCCTTGGACGATGAATAGTCTATCTGGAGTGCTAAGTAGTGCCCTACCTGATCTCAGTAGCATAACACTTTTCAGTACTCTGAGCCAAATACATTCAGAAATGAAAAGACTTTGACAGCCATGTACCTGTAGCACACAAACCAATGTTCATTACATACCCTCTTCTGAACTGTAGCTTGTCCTGTCTGATTCAGCTGTTCAGATTAGGAGTATTATCAGCCACATACTAGCTCCAAGCATTAACTGTGCGACTCACATGGCTTGTTGCGCTTAACACAGTTGACTAGAAGAAGGGACATTGCATAAAAGCACGTGCAGTGGGGATTGCAGAGTTTAGAGTCCCCCATCTGAATGTTAGTAGTTTATCTCCAATTTTAGGTTCATTTGTATCGGTGTCTTTTTCTGACCACTCATTGTGCTGTACATGTGTTTTTTGAAACAGATCTTATACATGTGCTGTTTACGTTATTACACCCATCATTTTTAAAATAATTATTAAGTCATACCAATACAGATTACTTTGCTGCATTGACATCAATTAGACTAGCATTTTCAACCAGAGGTTACCAGGGGCAGGGGCAATGTCACTCGCATGAGCCAGAGGAGTGGGACCAGCAGAGCCTCTCCTCTCTCACGAAAAAAAACAAACATTGACACAAATTATTTGTTTTATGTTTTTTTTTCTATAATTTTTTTACCTGTTTGTAAAGTGACTCCACACTCCAATGTATAATTACTTTGTTTCCACTGACTACCAGTGTAAGGGGACCCTTCTTTTTTCAGACCTTAAATCTAAAAGGAGGACCCATACCATTGACCAGCAGCATAAATGGGCCCCTTTTCATCTGAGAGGGCATTACGCTGTCCACTAATATAGGGCAGCATTTCCCCACTGACCACCATTGTAAGAGTATTTCTCCACTGACCACCAAAGTAAAGGAACATGTCTCCCCTGACCACCAATGTACGGGAGCATTTCTTCACCAACCACTAATGTAAGGGAACATTTCCTCACCAATGTTAGGCTGGCATTAGACTGAGAGAATGTCCCCTGGTTTTTAATGAATCGGCTAAAATTTGCTTAGTGGGGGGCCCTGTCGGCAGCCTTCCAGCCTTACATCCTTCAATCAGAAAATGGAAGGAGCCAAGCGAAAAATTCACAGTCAAACAGTGATTGCAGCCAATCAATACAATAGCCCAGTGGGAGATTCATCCCTCCATGCTGTTTAGCATGGATGGATGCAAGATTGTTTTCATTAAGCCAGCAGACAGATTTTTTTTTTCTTTCAAAAAGAGATCTCCAGTGTAAGGTAGCATTTCTCCACTGATCACCAATGTAAGGTAGCATTTGTCCACTGACCACCATGGAAAAGGAGCATTTCTCCACTGAGAACCAATGTAAAGTAGCATTTCTCCACTGATCACCAATGTAAAGGAGCATTTCTCCACTGACCACCAATGTAAAGGAGCATTTCTCCACTGACCTCCAATCCAAGAGAGCATTTCTCCACTGGCCTCCAATGTAAGAGAGCATTTCTTCATTGACCACCAATATAAGTGAACATTTCTCTTCTACAACTTACTGATCATGCTGATGTTTCACGAGCTGTTGATATAAGTAGGGGCTCCCTGAGCCCTAAAACGTTTTTAAGGTTCAAATGCGTAAAAAGGTTGGAAAGGCTGATTCAGACTTAGACTGCTAGCAATGCCTCAGAAACCATAAAATAGATTATGATTTTAAAGTTTCCCATAGTTAAGTTGTCTCTAGATATCAGATTAAAGTGTCACGCAGGCAGCAATTAACCCTTGCTGTGTGTGTTACACTACATTCTCAATATAGATACCTCTGCATTTAATTTGCTTGTACAGACTTTATTACATTTATTTGTATCAGTCATTCATTCAGAACAGATTGTAGGGCACTTTGTGCCCCCTATCCACAGTAATGTTGATAACTGGCACACTGCACTTCTGTGAATGTTTGCTCAGCCCACAAAATGGCAGCATCCATTGTGGGAAAGAATTAGATCCACTTTAAACCACAGGACCTTGAGCAATCTTTATTGAAGAAACTGTCTTCAAGCAGCAGACTTTAGAGTCCCTAAACATTTCGAGTGTGATAGGCTCTCATCACAGATTCCGCTTCTGTCGTTCGAGGCGCCATACTAGCTGACATTAAACGGTTCTTTGCTGTCGGGGTATGCACAATAAAAATGCATAGAGCTGTCAGCGATCATTCATTTAATCAGGCTGTGCAATGAGGTAAACAAAGATGGCAGATTAATGAGTCCGGTATGCTCAGTGACTGACAGAGCTGCAAACATAGGCTGTCTGTATTTAACCCTGTCCTGGCCAAATGCATATTTGTATATTATAACAAATCCCACAGTACTTTCAGTCTTCTTTTAAAGTAGAAATGTATTGTGGGGACTTACAATTTCATTGTGTAAAGCTCTGTTATGGAACATTGCATATTTGTTTATTGCAGTTGTATATTTTCTTGTATAATAATCAGATGTGAATCTATGTCTGGAACTTAGAATACCTACATTTCACTAGGGACAAATGGCTTCTTATTTCAATATAATGTAACATTCCTTCAAGTGTATTTAAACCTAATAACAAAAATGTAATATATTGCAGCTTACCAGTCCTTAGATGTGGTGGCTGCATTAGTTTTGCTTTTATTTTCACCTGGTGATCATACAAACCGCACATGTCCTGTGAACTGTGCAGGGCTGATAACGGCTTGAAAAAACAATGCAGAGTGCACAGTATTTAGCAAGCTCAATGGATTTCTGGCAGGATCAGTGGGTATTTTTTTAAATTTAATTTACTGAACAGATATAACAAAGCTATTTAACATGCCATAAGGAAGTGAATAAGAGAAGCTCACTTTTAGGGTTTACATACTGCAGAGAAGGTAATAGGAAACCACTTAGAGACTTCTATAATTTATGCTATTTGAGGCCTAAAAAAGAAAAATCAGTTTTGATTTGGCACAATAAAAGGAGCCTAGAATCGGCAAATCATTTCAAATACATCGGTTGCAAACCTGAGCTATTCAAGTTGAGCTTATGATGAAAAATGCATTATCAGAGGTTACTACATATTCACTACAGGTCAAAACTATCAGCAGATTAGAAACTATCAGTGTTAAAATCATAAGAAAATCTAGACTTTTCCTGCAAAAGTAAAGCTTAACCTTGGCCTTCTCCCTCATAAACCCTACTGTTTGTCAGAAAAATGTGATGTCTGGTTCTATACATTGTATATAATATACTGCAGCACTGCAGCTCCCACCAAGAGCTCAATATACTCAATGCACGATAGACCACAAACCAATTTCATGAAGTATGCTTAACACTTCCAGTGAGTAATGGGTTCAGAGGGGGTGAGGTGCAGGCCAGTGTGCATGGCCAACATTGCACAGGTAAACGGTGGTATAAGGGGCAGCTAGTTCCGAAGGAAGATTGATGTGGTACCAGGACAGGAAAACTTATGCTGGGACTAGTAGGTCACGGGGGTATAGTGTGATTTGTAATTTTTTTGGTGACAGAAGGAATAAGAGTAGGGCATGATGAACTTGAGTATACACATTAAAAGGCTAGTGAAGTATGTATGGTAAGTATGTAAGTACTGTAGGCCATATCTGCAGCAGAGTCAGGAGATATTGCAGTGGAGGCATAATTAAACTTCTCAGTAGACATCAGTCAGTAAAAGTTAGTGAATCAACCAGTGAAAATCCACTTCAGCACTAAGAAAACTTGCTGGCAGGCTCCCCTGGTTGCCATAATTCCTAGCTCTTGCCTACATTTCCTATACAATAAACACACAGCCCACATCCCCCTGATATGCTGAAAGAGTATGCTAGCTATTTACCAGCGACACTCACCAACTCATGGTGTCTCTAAGTTCCCCTCATGCTATCTACGTCTTTGACAGCATCAGGCGCAGAAAAAGCCTCTAGAAACAGTCATAAGTTTCAAGTCATGCTTTG